ATTAGATGCATATGAAAGCATCATAATTAATAAATGTAAAGATAGTATGAACAGAGTCAACGGTCCAATTCCTTCAAGTTCTTTGTTCCTACTACTCTAGTGGCGGAAATCTAACTGTTACGCTCAGTTGGCTCTGACTCGGTTGGCTAGATTTTGCCACGCCCACTCGGTGCCCACTGAGCGAGTATATAAACGCTCAACTTGTAGATTGTACTTTAGTCTATAATCATCTGCTGATGATGCTAACATGGTTAGCGAAACGCGCGTCCAGTGTAAAATAAAAGTGTTTTGGTGTATTGTGGTGATTTAGTGTTTTTATTTTGCAGAAGAAAAATCAAAATAATTTAAGAATGCGTGTCGATTACCCGTCATTTAAACAAATATACAGTGCGTGAGAATTTTCCATTACTATTGATTGAAGATTACTTAGATCAGCTGAGAGGAAAAGTATTTTTGTTGTTTAGATTTGAGGAATGCTTTCTGTTACATATCTGTTCATCCTAAATCCTGTAAATATAATATGTCTTTTGTCACGCTTATGATTCAGTATGAATTTATATATTATATTAAATGACGACTTTTGGCTTAAAAAATTATCCAGCAGATTTTACCCATTATATAAATTTTGTATTTCAAGACTTATTAGAGCAAAATAAATTACTTACTTATATAGATCATATCAGCTGACATGAACTCTACATTTTTTTCCCTATTTTAATGATATGCCATTATTAGAGTACAAATATTTTGTTAATTTTGTGATTTATGTTGATTACATTTTAGATTAATTTAGACAATATGTTTTATTTTTAGTTATTAGTTTCAGTGTTTGATTCTGGATAGTTTATGATTTATTATGTATCATCATTATGTTAATTATGTATCATCGTTATGTTAATTATGTATCATCATTATGTTAATTATGTATTATGATTCTATTGCTAGCTTATTGTATTATTATGAATTTCTTATGTTCTTTATGTCATTGTTATATTTCTTATGTCATTATTATGTTTATTATGTTTCTAATTTTGCTATAAATCTATTGTTATTTATTATCGATCGGGGCGATCGAGTGTCAGGTTGGCCGATCTGTTAGAGATATATTACAATCGATCTCTATAACAGTAGATTGTTTATTTACAGGTGACAATTTTGTATTGACGTTTTTAGTAACAAAGTTGTCAGAAGTTTAAATATTTAGAGAGAGAGAGAGATATGTGTTAAAGACGCATCGACTGTAGAGTCTTTTAGCGTCACTTTATCCCATTATTTATATATTTTTATATATGTCGATATGTATATGTCTTTATATAATCCAACATAGCCTTGTTATTTTGGTAGGAAAGGGCTACCTCAGGGTTATCCACGATACCGTGTTGTCTTCGTTTTAACGTGTTCTTTGGGCATTCAAAGATAATGTTTGACAGATATTGGAAGATTACATGTTTCACAAATGGGCTGATTCTGTCCTTTAAGGAGGTGTTCATGGGTAAGTTTCGTGTGTCCTAAACGAATTCTAGTGAGCACAACGAAATCTCTTCTAGGTAAGTTAATTACATTATTTTCAAAATAGTCCCTTTTGATTTCATGAAGCTTATTATCATTCATATCTAAGTCCTATTCTAGTTGGATTATATTATCGATCATATGTTTGCCATAATTCTTTAGATCTTGCACGGAGAAAACAAGGTTGGTTTTATGAGGGTTGGGACTTGAAATGCAGCCAAGTAGTCAGCTCTGTCATTGCCAGGAATTCCTATGTGGCTCGGAAGCCAAAGGAAAGTGACGCTGTAGTGGTTGATATTGGCCTTCTGTAGAAGCATTTTGATTGCTATAACTAGTGGATGGTTGGAGTAGAAAGAGGAAATACTTGAAATGGAACTCAATGAATCGGTAGCCACGACCCATCTCTTATAGCTGGAGGTCAATATATGTTGAATGGCCTTAAATATTGCAAAAAGTTCTGCTGAGAATATTCCCGTTATGGGACTTAGTGAGAAACACATTTCTTTATCAAACGTATGAAAGCCACTCCAGTGTGCCTATCAGTTTTCGAGCCATCGCCATCGGTGTAAACCAGTCGATGACTCTTATACTTCGAGTTGATGAGATCTTTGAATTGTGCTCTTATAGTGAGATGTGAGCATTCCTTTTTGTTGTGGACTTTGAGTGATAGGTCAAGCGAGAGTGGATGCAGACTCCATGGGGGAAACATACGGGAGAATGGCGCAATATTGAAAGGAGGAGGCAAATCGATTGACAGTCTTTCCTTTATATCTACATAACGGTGGTGTGATGCTGATTGCTACTGTTTGATTGCTATGTTTGATTTGGGGGTAAATAATTTTGAAGAATTTTTTTGTGATTAGGGTGTTCCAGATTAACATGTAGACCAAACCCATATGCTAATAGGTGTCGTTCTCTAATATAATTTAGTGTGAGTTGTTCTGATTCACACATTAAGCTTGGTATGGGACTCGTGTGAAAAGCGCCCAGTGATTTCCTGATTCCCGTGTTATGTACCACGTTCAGCTTATTTAAATAAGACCGCGGTGCAGACGCGTAAAGTTGAGACCCGTAATTGATTCTGGATAAGACACAAGCATTGTACACCCTCAAAAGAGAAACATGATCTGACCCCCAGGTGGTGCCAGATAGAATTTTAATAATATTAAGATTAGTTTGGCATTTAGAGATTAAGTTGCTGATATGGGTTCAAATTGAGAAGTGTGTCAAAGGTAATGCCAAGAAATCGTTGTTCATGCTGGGAGTTTATTCGTTCAGAGCCAATATATAGATTAACGGTCTTCGAGCAGTTTCTTTGGCGGCAGAAATGAACTGCAGCCGATTTGAAAGCAGAAAGGGATAAGTTTTTCCCCGTACACCATTTTGTAAGTTTATTTAGTGAAGTTTGTATGATGTTCTGACTGTATCCTGCTTCCGTAGAGGAATGATATATTACGATATCATCCGCGAACATTCTGAGAGAAACCCGTTTATCCAATGATGATCTGATATCGTTCACAGCAAGAAGAAATAACGTCGGGCTAATAGACGAACCCTGTGGGATTCCGCCATTGTGTGGGAAGATCTCAGAGACTGCATGCCCAATTCGAACCTTAAAGAATCTATCGCTCAAGAAACTATTTACGAATTTAAACATATTTCCCGTAATATCGAATTTTGTCAGGCTATACAGTATTGTGGCGTGATCAATATTATCGAAAGCTTTATCTATGTCAAGGAAAGCCGCTGTCAGATGTTTTTTAAATCTCATCGAATCTTGAACATCTATCTCAAAGCCAATTAGATGATCAATTGCGGATCTGTCTTTTCTATATGCAAACTGGTCTGGTAGTAAATGACCATGTTATTCTAAGTACCAGCTTAGGCGGAAGTTTATTATTTTCTCAAGAATCTTACATAAATGTGGCGTAAGGCTGATGGGCCTGTAGGCATCTGGATTGGTGATGGTTTTACCCTGTTTATGAATGGGCAAAGGATTGATGTTTTCCATGCTGTGGGAATATATGATGCATCCCAGATTTTATTAAATAATTCAAGTATGCAGTTAAGTCCAGACGCGGCGGCAGGTTTTTAATCATACTTATTCTGATACCATCCAATCCTGGGGAGGTATCTTTGCTGCGGTGTAATGCATAAGTCAGTTCAGAGAGTGATAAAGGTAAATTGTACACCATATTCTTTGAGTTAGGTGTGCTTATATGAGTTGGCATATAGTGTCGGACGGGAATGAAGTTATATAAGTTGTTGTAATGGGTGGCAAATACCTGCGAGATATCCTTGGGGTCTGTCACCCATTCATTATTAGACAATATGCCGGTTATATTCCTTGAGGGTCTGCCCTTTAAGCTGTTAATTTTGTTCCAGATAACTTTGCTAGGCGTGCACTCATTTATAGAAGAAGTAAACTCATTCCAACTGGATTTTTTGGCTTTTTTAATAGTAAGTTTTGATAGTGCTCTCATTTTCTTGTATTTGGTAAAGTTTTCAGGAGTTGGGTGATGTTTGAACCGATTGAGTGCAGTTTTGCGCATTTTAATACATTGCTTACAGTCCTCATTCCACCAGGGAACGGGATCTTTATTTATGTTACAGTTAAATTTTGGGATTGAGAGTTCTGCTGCTTTAAGTATAGCTGTTGTGATGCTAGAGGTTGCCTCGTCAATGCTTAGTTGTGAGATTTTAGGGGGTATAAATATGTTATTATACTTTAACCAGTCAGCCTTATAAGTGTTAAATTTGGGTATTTCAGTACTGGCAGTTGACCAGTTGACAGGTGCAAGCATGGTAGGTATATGATCGCTACCATAGGTGTCATCCAGTGTGCTCCAATGGAAAGAAGAAGCAAGCGAAGAACTGGCTAGTGTCAGGTCAAGATTAGAGAAGGACGCCGTGCTTGATGAAATGAATGTGTGAGATCCATCATTAAATAAATGCAAGTGAAGGTTTTCTATAATATTAGCAATTGCTGCACCTCTACGGCTAGTTGAGTTAGAGCCCCAAAGAGAGTTATGAGCATTCATATCTCCAACAATTATGAATGGTGTAGGGAGCTGGTTTAGTAGGTTTTAAACATATCAGTTAGCTTAAAAGACGGGGGTATATAGAGACTGCACACAGTAACTTTCATGGGAAGATATGTCGAAACCGCGCATGCTTCCAGTGGTGACGTGATTTGAATATCAGTGTATGGTAGAGAATTATGTATCAAGAGGGCAACGCCACCCGATGCTCTAGCACAATCTATGCGGTCTTTCCTGATGATATCGAAAGCCTTTACGGAGAATTTATTAGATGGCTTAAGGTTAGTTTCTTGAAGGGACAGGATTTTTGGACGATAGAGTCCCAATATAATCTTAATTTCTTCGAAGTGTGTATTAATCCCATTACAATTCCAGTGAATTATTGCATCGAAGATGATGAAAGTGTATCAATCTTCTCATAGTTTTTTGTGTTGGTTATATGTTTTATATTTAATTTCTTTGTAGTGGGTTTGGGATTATTTGGTTCAGTAGTATTAGAATTGCTTTTTTGTTTGGACGAGACTTTAGTTGATTTGGTGGAGCTTGTGTCTGAGGATTTTGATTTTGATGAGCAATTTGAATTGATTGAGGAGGAAGAATTTGATTTTTTGATAGTGTGAGCACCAGTGGAGGCTCGGGAAAGGGTAACTGGAGTATTTTTATGGGTAGAAGCTGTGGAAGGGATAGGTAATATTGGAGGGGGAGGGAGAGGGGTAATAAATTTATCATGTTTGATGGGGATTTGTTTTGATTTGGAGGATTGTTGGGACGGGGTTTCAATGGGGAGCCTGGGAGTGGACGTTTGAGAAGGTTTTTTTGTTGTGTAGTTGTTTTAATTGCTGACATGATTTCTGCATAGGATGGCCCATATTTTGAAGGGTTACTTTCTATTGCTTTTTTCACTTCAAAGTAGCTTAGTTTTTCAGTGACTTTAACTTTCTGTATCATGGTTTCTTTCTTATAGATGACGCAACCTTTATATCTAGGGGAGTGATTCTCGCCGCAATTGACGCAATAAGGGGGCGGATTACAATCACTTTCGTGCTTGTCTTTTCCACAAGATGGGCATGTGGCTTCGTATTTACAGTATGTGGAAAGGTGTCCTATTCTTTGGCAGTTAAAACATCTTCTTGGGTTTGATATAAATTGTCTTACTTTACAGCGACGATAGCCTACATAAAAATATGCTGGTAGAGTTAAACTGTGTAGAGTAATAATGTACGTGTTCGTAAGTTCACCATTTACTTTCCGTTTGATTTGGGTTATGTCAATCAGATTTTGTTCTGAGCATTCATCAAGTATTTCTTGCTTATCTTTACAATATTGCAGGTCACTACAGGATATGACTCCTTTAATGTTATTTAGTGAAGGATGTGAGGTAACTCTGCACTCTAAATTGCCAATCTTATTAATTTCAAAAAGTTTGTTTGCATGCTGCGGATCGAGTAGTTCAATTAGTAAATCGCCGCTTCGCAATTTGCTAACATTTTTATACTTCGGAACTTTCTCTATAATATTTTTATGTATGACAAAAGGAGACATAGTACTAAAGCTATTAGTTTCCAAATTTGGACGTATCAGAAAAAATTTATCATGTTTTGTGATGTCATCAACCTCACTAGACGAGTCAGATGTGCTAGCTCTAAATCTTTTATAATTTCTTGAACTCTGATCACCAGTTTGAGAAAAAGGCGCACTGGCCTGGTTATCCACCAGTTTTGCCTTGGAAGGTAATTTAGGAAAATCTGAAATATTCATATTGTTCCCACGAGCAGCTAGGGAAAAAGAAGTCGATCCAATCAGAGTCCCGCTTGACCAGACAAGGCTAATTACTGCCAGATTTCGCCTGGTGTCTGACAGGAACCGTTCGAGACTTAACAGCAGAGCCATTCATCCCCTGAGCACGGTATCTAACACCTTAGGATTGCTATAATGCTAACATATAGGACAATACAGGACATCACAAACGGACTAGCGTACCTCGGGGTCGTCAGATCCCGTACAATGTGACCTTTTAGCCTCAAAGTCCCCTGAGGGGTTTTAAATATTTAAATTGAACTTTATTCCAAAGAAATTTTGTGTGATAACAATATATAAAAAATCAACGAGATGAGGAAAGAAAGAAAAGGAGAAAGGATTTTGAAAAGAAAAGATGGGAAGAAGAAAAACAACTTTGTAAAGACGAAGTTAATGTAATTTTAAAATTGGCAGAAGCAATATCACAAAATATAAAGGAAATTGAATTGATTTAATTTTTTTTTTGTTTGTTTTGTGTGTTGTATTTCTGTAGTTTTATTATTTGTTTTGTTATTTAAAAAATTGTTTAGTTATAGATAGTTATTATATATATATATTAGTTAGAAAATATATTTTTTGTTTGTTTAGAATGTTTTTTAATATATAAATATATACTATTTATATATTTTTGCTTTGTATGTTTTAACCTATCTTCCCATATGACAAATATGTTAATACAATAACTATTACGTTGCACAATTAAAATACCTTCTTACATATATTTATAACAAACTTTATTCTCAATCTTGCAATTCTGCACCTAAATTTATCTACTTATAATATTCATTATTTGAATTCGAAATTCATTTGCATTTGCTGGTATTCTTCAATATTATTTTGAATGACCATATCGATCTCAAAATTTTCATTAAATTCTGTTTTATCATCAATAGCGATTTTATGTAATATACACGTCGCCAATATTATATATTTAATGTTAGACAATTTAAAAACTTTAGTTTTCACCATCTTCCAAATTCCTGTTCGATAATAACTCTGGTACTGCTCAACCTCATATTAAATGATTTTTGGTTTCTCGATAACCTACCATTATTCTTCACTTGTATGTATTTCCTTAAAGGGTATGCTGAATCACCAAGCAAATATGTGTCTGGTAATTCAGAGGCCAATTTATACCTACGTGTATAATAGTACAAAACACTTTCTAGGGATCTACTAAGCGTTTTGACATTTTTGTGTGGAGGTAATTTGTCATATACACAAATACACTTATACAGCGAGCTTCGTTAGTTTAAAGAGGTGGCGTCACTCGCTAATACACGTATACACCGTGCTACGTCTTAATTACGACCTAGCCTCCGTCTGTAGAGGCCATATTAAACTCCAAAATCCGACAACACTGTATCTCCTTGATGTATATCAGCCGGTACGGAAATATTTAAGATCGCGAGAATTTTAAAATACGGCGTGCATTATCAAAATTTTTATAAATCTTTGTTAAATGTTTATAAATCTTTGTTAAATGTTTATAAATCTTTGATAAATTATTACTGTACCAGAACGTGCAAATAAATAAGGTTTGCTCGTCGATATTATATCTGTCGTATTTCTAATATGAATAATTGTATGCATTAATTCCTGAATATATTCCGGAAATAAAATTGTTGGATTTGGGACGTGTTTAGGAATTAAACTGTACTTATTAATACTGAACTTAAATATATTAGAAGTAAAATTACAGAAACTTTAAACAAAATGCTACTTTTTTATTCGCGCGCCATTTAATTATCAATTTATCAAAATATTGTCCGCAGTTAGCTCACATTATTACAGGGCGAGCACAATAAAAATATATCTACCCAGCGAACTAAGAAATGTGTCCTTCCTATATAGTATTTTTGCAAAGGATCAACAGAATTTTTCAAAGCAAAAACTAAAGTATCCCTTAAAGTGTCTGAGTGGCTTACTTTGATAGCAAATGCTAGGGTGCAACCTGAACCTTTTAAAGTTATTAGCTTGAAGTATTCTGATTTTTTATGATGGAAAGCAGTAAGCGATTGCAATAACAAATTTCAAGATGGAACCAAATTTCAAATAAGTCAAGTTAGCTTTTGGATAAAGACACGGTGAAGAAGAAGAAGAAGAAGAAGAAATTTAGCTTTGAAGCCGCATCAGCATCAAAGGTTATTTAGCGGCGTATCACCTGCTATTTTAGTTCAGTACAATATTTGACATTTTATTAAACAACACGTTTATGACAGATTGTATATGTTAACAGTACAGACATTGATTTTGCAAAAATAAAGAGTAAATGATACAGACAACATAGAATAAAACAATAAAACGTAAAAATATGTACAATTGAATTAGTAATTGGTTGCTTTAAACCAAAATGTAGCTTTTTAGATACCTATATTTTAGATATATATCCCGATCTTTCCAGAAAATCAAAAAGTTTTGGTTGCTCACTTGTAGAAAAAATAACTGACATGTCTGACGAAAGATTGCAGGCCTCCCTTAGGTTAATTAACTGACTACATTCCTTAAGGATATGCTTGACAGTTAAGGATTACTACATTTATCACATAGATGCGGTGGTTGGCCCTTAAGCAAAAATTTATTAAAAAAACCTACAATGTCCTAATATGAGTCTGTTAATTACTACGGCTTTGCGACGATCATAACTCGATGTGGAGAAACCACAGAAGAATTTCCTGTTGACATTCCAGAGTTTGTTAGGTTCCTCCAGAAGATTCCACTCCAGTTGAACCAGGGATTTGCACAGTCGGGCGATTTTTGTGGGCAACAACCCGTGGAATAAACTGATAAACTATCTGTACCGTTTAGACGTGCATTTTTCGCGTAATGATCAGCGCTTGCATTACCGGTAATGCCCACATGGCTAGGGATCCACAATACAGATATATTGGAGCCTAGGCTAGTTGCCCTATGTCGCAGATCCATTATATGTGCTTCCAAAGGATGTTGGGGGTAAAGTTTTTCTATACATAGTAGAGCAGATAATGAATCCCAGCATATCAGCTAAGAAGCCCGAGGACAAGAAACAATATATATTAGAGCCTCCTTAATGGCTAGAAGTTCTGCATTTAATATATCATTGTAGGGATGTAATCGGAATTGACTATGTATTTCTCTGTGGACAAAAACACAACCAGTGTGAACACTTGTTACTGAACCATCCGTATAAATTATGTTTTCAGGATTGTATTTGGATGATATTTCCGTAAATTTGATTCTCATAAATGACCCAGGTACAGAGCGTTTGTCATGTACTAACAAAGATTTGCATACTACGGGAGGAGGAATAATCAAAGGCGAATCATTTGGAGGATTTCGAGACACACATGGCGGTAGAACAAATTGCGTATATGTCAAGGTCCGAACGAATCTGTTACCAGATCCCTTTTTCTTGTCATTGTTGACAATTACGTTGCCATTAGGGCGATAAGAATGCATATATACTGGAATGAAAGGACGAGATTTTAAGATAGCAACATATACCAATAAAGACTCAAGACGTCGGGGTATTTCAAGGAGGCAATCTCTCCCAAACAATGCATATTGTTGGTTGGACTAGTACGATAAGCACCTAAAGCCAATCTAATTGCAGAGTTCTGGATGACATCAGTTTGTTAAGATGGGATATGCAAGAAGACGAATAAGCAACATATCCTTAATCTAGTTTGGGCCCGACAATAGATCTATAGAGATGAAGTAGTTTGGTAGAAGGAATGCCATGAGAGATGTGAGATAACCATTTAATATACCAAGCGGTTTTGCACATGAAGATTTTAAATAATTGATATGCGGCAACCAGGATAACCAATAGTCAAAGTATATGCCCAGGAATGTCATGTTTTCGAAGAAGGTTCATTTTGCAATGGATACCCGCAAAGAGAAAGATTGTGTAAACGGGGACATTGTCTCTTTCTGCAAAAATAAACCATATTTGACTTTTGGGGAGAAAAGGAAAACCTCAATGTAGCAGACCACCTACCAAGTTTGTCCAGTGCACCTTGAATTATACTCTCACTCACTTTGGGTGAATGTGTTAATGCCACCAGTAAAACATAAGGATATATCATCGATAGCAATATTGAACAAACTTGGGCTTAGCACTGATCCTTGAGGGAGGCCCTTTTCAAGGAAGTGGGAAGAGGAGGATATACCTTCAACCCTGACTCTAAAAGTACGACCTGATAGATAGTTTTTTAAATAATTCATCATATACCCATTTAGTCCAAAATTAATCAATTTTTTTATAAGGGAAGGTCTTGAAACAGTGTCAAAGGCTGATTTTATATCTAATGGAAATGGCCCACGTTTATGGAAACAATGAACTAGTGGACATAATGTAATGATCCCGACGTACTTACTGCTTAAGCTACGTAGGTCAAAACTTCTTTCTCGATCAGGTTTCGCAGTTCCAGTGCAATAGCTTGAATACGTACCTGTATTTTCTTTTATTTTATATATCTGCAGGTTTTATATATAAAGTAATGATGTTCTGGTTGTTTCTCGAAAGGGATTTATTTATTTATTTCTGGTCTCGAAAGGGTATATTTAAATATACTTCTTAGCTGTTGTCTCAAAAGGGATTTATTTATTTAGTAAGTATTCCAAAAAATTGTTAAAAAAAACAATTGAATTCTTTTAAGTTTGAGCAGACAGATTATTTTTCTTTATAGTTTTTAATTTTTCTTTACTTAAAACACAAGAGTTCACTTTTTACAAGTTTATTAAATTCCATAAGAATTACATAAAATTCCAAAAAAATCAAAAGTCAATTGTTACAATGTTCAAACACTTACTGTTCTGGAATTTTCACTTTCACTAAGTACTTGTATTTTATTTACTGGACTAAGACTGGCGTACTGAACACTTTTTACTATTGAACTGTTTAATTATTACCCCTGCTTCATTAGGACTGTTCAAACACTTTTATAATTTTTCTAAGTCCCGACTAGAATATTCACTTA